AGGCAGAGGAGGGTGAAAGACAGGGAGTCATGACAGCCTATATATATATATATATATATGTGTGTGTGTGTGTGTGTGTGTGTGTGTGTGTGTGTGTGTGTGTGTGTGTGTGTGTGTGTGTGTGTCCATTGCCAGTCAGTAGATAAGAGGTAGAAGAAACTCTGGACAGTTCGCCAGTCCATCACAGGGACACAAAGAAGAACAACCTATTCCACACTAATTCAAACCTGGGACAATTCAGGGCCACCAATCAACCTAACATGCATGTTTTTGGTCTGTGGGCGGTAACTGGTGGTCCCAGAGAAAACCCACATGTGCATGGGGAACACATGCTAACTGCGCAGAAAGAGTGCAGGTGAGATTCAAACCGGTTGACTTCTCGTTGCACAGCAACAGTGCTACCACCATGCAGCCTCAGCCTATAATCACAAGGGTGTAAATCACAAGATACACATTCTGTTCTTTATAAATTTGAAAGTTATTTGATTGAAAGAATGAAAAAAACATGCTATTGATGCAGATTAGTCATACATTTAAATATGAAAAAGGATATTTGTTGCTGACCTTTAAGTCCAAAATTAGACAGAAACAGTGAGAAAACCCAAGAAGAGCCTTTAGAAAATAAAATGTGATCAGTTCCATCACCCTGTGATCTCTCTTCCTTTGCTCTCATTCTCATGCCTACACCTGCTGAGGTCAACGCAAACACTCCTGGCAGTTTATTGGTTTCACCTGTCACATTGTATGAAGCAGCCAGGAACAAAGCAGGAAGTTGTTGCTGGTCATTTGGATGCAGCCCAGTCTTTCCCTCTTCATTTCATCTTTTGTCTTGACCTCTGGTTTTCCCACAATTGTTCAGCTGCAGGAAACTCAGCCCGTCCGAATCTGAGGGAACCCGACCATCTGTAAGGAGCACGCACAAAAACCCACACACCACAAAATCTGCCATAACGGCTCCAACTGTCTTTGAATAGATGTAGAATTATTTACATTCAAAGATACTTACAGTATTTAGTCAAATGTTGAACAATCTTCAATCGCCATTTGATTTAAATAAATCTCTGCATTGATTGGAGTCACTATCATTACATCATTACTACAAACCAGGGTGGTTCACACCTGGTTTGAACCAATGAGTGATTAACAGGATTCTGGAGAACCTGTGGACATGCTGTAGAGGTGCATTCAGCTATTGATCAGGTGTGTTGGGACAGGGAAACAATTAAAACATGCAGTACAGTGGCCCTCCAGGACCAGGCTTGACTAGCTATGCTTTCAACAAAGGTCTTCAGTAAGTGCTAAGCCTGTTTGAGAGTCTTTTAAAGGAACCAGTACATCTCATTGACACCAATCATTTGCAATGGTTTATATTATATTTAAATCATAGTTTCTGACTGGTTTGTGTTTGTTAACAAAATATGCATTCTAAATTCACCAATTAGTTATGGTGTTCCACAGGATCCTGAGTTTGGTCCCATTCTGTTCTCTTTTTACTTCGTTTTACTAATTTTGTGTATTTTTGTTAGAAAGATGCACAATAATTACCCCTGATGACACCCAGCCCTACGTATTCATGAAGTGCATCAAGTCTGAGTCTGGATTCAACTTCCTGTTTGAATGTGGGACACAGAAACACTTCTTGCTTTGAAAACACACCTATTGAGAATCACTTAAGTTTAGTATTTATTTATTTAGTTAGTTTTTAGTTGATTGCATATGTATTTGTAATATGTTCAAGTTTTTATGTGGATCAAATCTTAATTTAAAATACCCATTTTGTTTATTTCCTCAGCTATTTGACTTTACCTGAGGCGAGTCTTATTTTAATAAATATGAGTTGGACTGATTTTAGACCCAGAAGCAGGAACGCATCAAACAGGACAGGTGGTGATGTTCATTCAGATCCATAATCAGCTTCTGCAGAAAAATAAAACAGCTTTGACAAAGTCTCATTTGTGGTGACAGGTGAAAAACAAAACAATGGGTCCAAACTGTGTGTGAGCCAGGATATGATCAAGAAGAGGGAACAAGGATCTGTTTCCTGGTTTGTTAGCATTCAGGCTGTGACACATTGTTAAACGTTTGGTGGCACAACAGCTGACACCAAACTGACCCATGAGAAAGGTTTAAACACACCAGGCAAATCAAACAACTTACTGGCTCAAGACAGTTTCATAATCATTAACTTCATCATTTGTTGGATTCGTTATCACTGGTTGGGCCATTAAAAGGAAACCGAAATATTTAATGCCACATTTCATACACAGAAACAACTCAATATGCTTGAAACAAGAAGTCTTCTTAAACAATACATTTAAGAAGCTGGAGGTGGGAAGAGCTCCAGGTCAAACCTGCAAATGAAATCCTCCAAGCGGGCACAAACATTCAAAACAAAACAAACGCTCGGGACATAAACAGCCTTGCTTCATAAGTGTTTAGTAATTTCATAATTAGTCAGAAAGCTTAAGCACAATCTAAACCCAAATAAACCCAGACATTCTTGTTGGGCCCTCCCGTATCCGTTCTGGCCTTGCAGCCTCAGTATAACAGTCTTTAGATGCTGAATGCTTTCGCTCAGGTTTTAACGCTCTCAAACACTTCCTCAGAAAATATAAACCTCTGCCAGTCTGATGGACATTTAAAATAGTTGTACAATCCTGCAAGCTTATATTCAATAGCGGCGTAAACGAACTAACTGTCCTAACCCCCAATTCTGGTGGGGTTAGGGTTAGTCTGACCATGTTTCTCTCTAATGACAACATCACAATGAGTTTTCTTTTACGACATTCCTAGCTCTTGAACTTGGACGCTAATATAATCCCTCAGCAAGCAACAGAAGATCTTGCACATCCATAATACAACACACATAAATGAATTTCATATATTTTCATGAGCACCTTCCTTCATATAATTTGCACCTTTTATACTTGTGCTTTATTTAGTCTTAATGTGTTTTTACCTGTTTTTGTGACTCTTTTACCATTTACATATTTCCTAATCTGCCTCAGGATATGTTAATGTTTTTTGTTCTTTTAAATGTGTTTTTATCATGTTTTTCTGCTCGTTTAAGTTTTATTAATGTTCTAGATGAAAGGTGGCTTGGGTGGAAAAACCTCAGTTTTGTGACTATTCTGTTCTGTTCTTTTTAGTAGAATGGATGGCTCAGTTTGTTGGTCTACATCCTGCATGTCATCTCTGGGAGATTGTGGCTCTTTAGTAGTTGTGAAGATGCTGTTGGGACTTGTTTGTGATGATGAAGTTGGCATACTTAAGAGAGATCATCAGAAAAAAATGAGCCCCAACATGGACTCTCACTTTACAGAGATAAAATGTCTTTATTTAGCTTTTTCCCATGTTTCTTTGTTTTTGTCACCTTCACCTTCCAGACACTCACCCTCTGAAATGAACCCAATCACAGTTATGCAATTATCCAATTTAATAATTAGAGTGGGCTAAGTGCACAGCCCTGGGGAGCTCCAATGCTGAGGGATTACATTCAGCACCACATTCATATTAAGGAATTCTGTGGAACACTTAGTCACACAGTTGACATTTTTCTCACTGATTTCATTATTTAAACCAATAACTGACAAACAAATGTAGAATTTGCTTATGATGAGAGTATAAACTAACGTGACTTTAGCAGCTAGTCCTGTGCACAAAAGCACAATCAGAGTTAGAAATTGTATATAGTTTCACTATATAAATGGATACAGGCAGAGTACGCACATTTTTTACATTATACAAATTCTCTTTTTTTCTAAAACCAATTTAGATTAAATGAAATATTATATTAAACAAATAACTGAGTCTAAAACGTATGAAGAAAATTCAGCACCAACAGTAAAGTATTTTTTATTTCTTTGATTAAACTAACAGCAGGTTGCTGTATTAGTTGTAAAGCTGGACGGGTGTGTGAAGACCTGTGTGGTTGTCTAATTGTTTAAGTTGCTTGTTTTTCCTAAAATGAGCTGCAGGAAGTCTTTCCTGTTTTGAATGCACTGTGAATAGAAGCGAATTGTGTTTGTGAGTTTTCTTTGCCAGAGTGTTTGTGAAGGTATTTAGGAGGAGGGATGGGGGGCTGGTAGGATGGCTAAAGCACCAGGTAAGTGGGTTTTCCATGCATCTCTATACGAGCCACTTCAGATGACTGATTATTTATGACTTGAGTTCAACAAGAACTCAAGGCGTGTGTGTGAGAACACACACACACACACACACACCTCTAGTCTTCATCATCTCTTATGTTTGCTTCAGGAAACAGGACACAGTAAACTTCCAGCTTCTGTTCCTTTTACTTCCACGTGGAAGTAAGAATATGGGAAGAACTTTTGTGAACATGTGAGCCCTGAGGTACTGAAAAGAAAGAAAGAAAAATCAAAACAAACCTTTCGAACCAGCTCAGGCTTCATCCTGTCTCACGGAAAATAAGCAAACTGTTTATGTCATTAGAATAAGCCTGACCTGTATTACCCTAAACACACACACACACACACACACACACGCACACACACACACACTAAGATACACCTGGCTCTCACATGCTATTTTCATTTTCACATGAAATCTGCTGTGTTCATGCTCTGGATCAGCAAACACACAGCTGGGTGTAAATTAGGAAAAATCAAGCTGATGATCAGATTAATCATCTATTTGGAAGTTTTTAGATCTCCAGCTATAAATCATCAGTTGCGTCACAAACAAAAGAAAATCCAGCGATGGTTTTTCTAAAGAGTAATTATGGGTTAATGACAGCTGAGGAGAAGCACATTGGAATGAAGCTTGTTGTTGTTCTTTCTATTCCACATTATCCAGTTATTTTTCTCAGTTTCACCCTCTATAAGTAAAACTACAACATGTTTGTCACACATTTCGTTACCAACATGGTCCAAATCTGCACATTTAGGAGCTGTAGTAATATTTATCAGAGCCAGAGAGCGCTGAATTAGCTCTGGATGACTGAATAAGAGAGGCCAAGAATGCAGGAAACTACAAACGTGTGTTTTTATTTTTTTTATTACAAACACGTACAACAGTATATGAACACAGCAGCATTTCTACTATTTACAAGGGAAACCCTGCAGGAGGAGTCATGGGCCAGCAGACTGCTCCTCATACTTTCAGTTAATGTTATTATTTACATAATATACAGCAAACCAACAAGAAGACACTAACTGGAGTGCAAACTGGAGGACTCGGACTCGGTGGTCGTGGAAGCCCCATGGCGTCTCCGGGGTAAAATCTTCAAACTGGAGGCCCGACTCAGAGTCAGAGCTCTGCGAGCTGAACTCTTGAATCCGGCCCCCAGGAAGGCGTACAGCAGCGGGTTCAGACAGCAGTGTGCAAAGGCCATGGGCTCAGCCACCGATAGCCACATGCCTAAAGCGGCCTCCAGCCTGCAGCTGGACGGCAGGACCTCCAGTCGCAAAAGAGCATCCACAAAGATGCCCACGCCATATGGGAGCCAGCACAAGAAGAAGCAGAGCACCAAAGCGATGGTGGTCCTGACTGCTCGCCGCTTCTGCCTCTGCCCTCCCAATGGGCCTCGGGTCAGTCTAGTGACAATGACGCAGTAACACACCAGGAGGACCAGGCCAGGGATCACCAAACCCACTAGAACCAGCTGAAGGTGGAAGACTGCAGCCCAGATAGGACCATTTGCTTCTGGGTATAAGCGCTGGCACAAAGTAGAACCTTCTGCTCTTTCCTGAGTTCTGGCAAAGATCAGATCTGGTACTGCAAGAAGACCAGCAGGTAACCATGCACCTGTAGAGTGTGGAAGGAGAATCAGGTAAGAGATGGATCAAAAGAAGAGAGGAGAAGAGAAGGGGTTTGATTCTGCTCACCTATGTACACCAGCCTGTGTGCCAGCAGCTGCCTCAGTCCTCCTGTGTTTGTATCTGTGGCCCGGACCACTGCCAGGTACCGATCCAGACTAATGAATGCCAAGATGAGCACACTGCCATACAGGTTCACAGTATAGATCACGTGCACACCGACACAGGTAGCTGATCCAAAACGCCAGTCAGCCAAAGCTGCATCCACAGCCCAGAACGGCAGCGAGAGAACAAAGAGGAGGTCAGCCGCGGAGAGATGGAGGCGATACCAGTCTGTCAGGCTGCACTTGGACCTGGAACCAAACACAGAACTGGGTCAGGATCTCATCTTAAAAGGTGCTGAATGTCCAGCAGCTCAACATCAAACCTTTTCTTACCTGCGCTGACAACCCAGAACTATGACGACCAACCCGTTTCCTGTGATGCCCAGTATGAAGATGAGGGCGTAGACCACGGGCAAGAAGACCTGCTGAAGCTCATCTGTCATTAGATGTTCTACATCACAGGGCTCCTCCAGGTCCACACCCACCTCTCCAGAGCCAGAACCAGAACCTGTGTCATTGTAGTCAAAGTCCAAAAGGATGTGCTGGAGACAGATGATGAATGGCGATCAAGGGTTAGGGTAAAGCAATGACGAATTTGCAAGCTTCCACAAGACTTCCACCTTACCTCGTAGTATGACATGATGGACACAGTCCTCCACCTCCTGTCTCTGCACAATGAAGCTGAGACTTCAGTCAGTGGGTTTTATAGTTGTCCAAATGCTCCTCCTCCAAACAACCCAATGCATCTGCGTCTGCTGAAACGTTTTTCCTGTTTTCGAGGTGTCAGGTGCTGATAGTGGATCTATCACAGGATGCTGCACGCTACATGAATTGTTTTAGCCCCTGAGACCTCTGGTGTGTATTTACAGATTCTATTGGCAATAGGAAGGAGCGCCAGTGGGAATCAGACAATGTGTGTGTGTGTGTGTGTGTGTGTGTGTGTGTGTCCAAACTTCTTGCTCGGTTAAATCAGGACAAGCAATTTGGAGTTTCAGCTTTTACACGATGCATGAACACATGAACATGCGCGGCAGAGAGAGAGGGAGAAGGAACAGAGTGCTAGATGTTGTAAATGAATGTGCGATCAGTATCAGCTTTCCTCCTCAGTTCTGGTAAACTCCAGGCTGCAGAACTCCTTCTGATCTCCGTCACTCAAGCGTTATGTTGTGGTATCCAAGTGACTTCTGTCTGAGAGAAAATTAAAAAGCTGCTTCGGCTTTATGGCACGAAGGAAGACTGTGAGTACTCCTAAAGTTTCGAAGGTCGTTCAGATAGTGAAACGGACCATTTCTGAAGTGACACTGTTCATAATATTCAGATTCAGACTTGTGAATATTGGCTTTTCCCATCAAGCTTTGAGTGATTTGTTAAACTGGCATCACAAGTCTATTGATTAACAGAGAAGTACCACAGGGCTCTTTTATTGTAACCTTTGTTTACAGTTTATGTTAATTACTTGAGAATGGATGTAATTAAACCCCAAAAGTGTCCCATAACACTGGGCAGAATGTGGGATGGAGCAGGGAGGAGGCGATTTGCTATAGGTTATGCACAATTGTTTTTCCTCCACTTTTTCTACAAAGATTGGATCAAACTTCTTCACCACGCTGCTGAGTCGGGTTGTCAGACATGAGTGTTACCACAGGTGCATATTTGCTACAAAACTCACGTGTCTGCAACTTTTTGCGTAATTTAGAGGGGTGAGTCGTACCAGCGTAATTAGATTAGTCGGTTCTGCTGTTGAAACCCGTTGTTCCACCGCTCCACAGCGCGCAAGCGGCAAATACGGCGCGCGAGCTCACTACAGCCCCCCAAGTTAGCCCCTTATTCAATATGTTTTTCACATGCCAGCAAAAAGAAAAAAAAGTAATTCTCTTAAATGAAAAGTCTCAGCTATTAACTTGCATGCTTTGGAACAGAAAAAGTGCATAAAAACTACAATAATTCAAGCTCCACTCTGATGCTCACCTGTTCCAGCCAGATGCCTGCATCAGAAGGTTAGGCTCTAAATTGAGCTTTATCAGAGAGGACAGTTGCTCACATTAATATATGTGCTGGTGCACATGGAGAGCATTTCAGCAGCTCGGGCTGTGTCAAAGAGGAAAGATACAAGCTGCAACAGCTCTGACCTGAGCGTGTCAATACGCTGGAGTCAGCCCCGCCTGGAAGTTGTTCGCTTCCCTTGTCAGCCGCGAAAGGACTACTAAGCAGTTGGGGTCTCAGTTTCTGGGTTTCAGAGTCGGCAAGTCGCTGAGTAAACTCGGAGCTGAGTAAGAGCACTGTTTTCAGTTTGTTCGAGACTGCGGAGGGTAACTAGCCTGGCAAGCCAGACTAAATAAATGTATTATTTGGTCTGGCAACGCTCCATTGATGGCTCTCGGTTGTGGGGCGGGTTCTACCGTTGTCTTTCAAATGATCTCCGCATTCCACTGGACAATGAATGTGACATACTCTTGTTTCACTCTGTTGCATCATCCCACCCACCAGGCATATAGAGTGACCTGATTGGCCCATAAAGCGGATAAAGCTCTGTGATTTGTTCACTAAGCAGATAGAGCACCATGATTGGCCCACCAGTATGGACCAATCACAGCTCTTTATGTGTTTGAAACCCCTCTAGAGAGCTGTGATTGGCTAGCCAGAGTCCGGGTAGGAGCTGCAGAGGTTCCAATGAAGCGTGCCTAGACCAAACTTTGCAAAGCAAGAATTTGGTCTAGTTCACTAGGCTAGAGGGTAACGCCAACGCGATACTACTATCACTGAAGCTAATGACTGTAAACAGAAAATAGGGGGCGCTTCGACTGGCGCGAAAACCGCACAGCACTGTGGGATTTGAAGTCTTCGCGGCAGATTGGACCGGCGGGCCCGTTTTAATACATTTTTTAAATTTAATCTCGCGGGCCAAATAAAAATAGAATGCGAGCTAAATTTGGCTTGAGGGCATGCGTTGGGCACCTGTGATCTAGCCCTACTCTCAACAGTCTGCCGATTTAAACAGGAAAACACCACACATTGTTCAAGATGGCTGCATCTTTTTTTTTTTTTTGCCTCAGAGCAGCTAGTCTATTCCCCATTTGATAAGGGAGGTGGTGCACACAAAAAAACAACTGTTGGAGTAGTTAACTGCTTTACTAACTAACTTACAATACTAACGCAGCTTTCTGTTACCACACAAGCAGCATAATATACAGTCCCGAGTTTCATTTACCTACAAGGAATTGTGTTAGCTACCGCTAAAAATCTAAAGTGGCTAAGTAGAAATCGGCGCCGCGATTCTGTACAGCTAACTTTATTGAACAGTTCACAACAACATAATAATTTTTATAAATGTAATTAATGAATTTACCTTGACGGTTGATCTTCAACTCCGTGTCAGGGCGGGAAGGATGGTGACGTTTCTTCTGGATTTTACCGCCACCTACCGATGATGACGTTTGTGAGGAGGTGGGGGAGGGGTGGCTACACAAACTTTATTGAAACATGCACAAAACAAAACAAAGGCATAAACTTTTAAAGTGAGTGTAGGTTACAACCCTTTTATCTGTGTTTAGAAAGATATTATAGGAAGTAGTTTTAATTATAACATACAACTCCATTGATATCGGTTCCTAGTATTGGTTAGCTTTTAACGAGTACAACTACAGTATCAGTATCAAAGTAATGAAGTATAGCCACACATTATTAATTCACATTATTACATTTCTTTGACTCTTCTTTAAAAAATGTAGTTACAAAAAACCACCCTCTATTAAAAGGGCCCTGTGAGCATTGTTACACAAAGCCAGGAGTTATTAAGATTAGGCTTAAGATCTTCAAACAATAAAAAGGTTCTTCAAAGCACTAAAAGTAAGTATAAATGTGACAACCTCTCTTCAAAAAAATTGAATCAGTTCTCAAAAGAACCTTAAACAGCAAGGAAAAGGTTCTTCAACTGAAAAAGGTTCTCCAGGGCACTCAGAGTGCTTTAGAGAACTTATGAAGAAACACTTTTATATAGAGTGCAGATGTGGAAAAATAATCGTGCATTTGCTGCGCCACGAATAATCTGAACTCCAGGACCTATAACCAAAAGGTAATTCAGACATTGAGGAATCTCTAGAACTGATTCTGTGATTGAATTTATTATGTCAAATTTAGGTTGTTTATGTTTTTATTTATTTTCAATATGTTGAGTTTTAAACTTTGTGTTGTGGCAATTTTAACCAAGTCTTTCATAAAAAAAGAGGTTTGAACTTTGACGAGACTAACCTGGTAAAATAAAGGTTAAATAGATTTACATGAAAACAAATAAAAACTTGAAATTGCTGGTGGTATAATATATCACCTGAAGAGTGAGTGTTATGAAAGAAAACGGCATCATGATAAACCGTGTCTGAAATCCCTTTGATCTGCTGATTTTATTAATGGATTACGTGTGTGTGTGTGTGTGTGTGTGTGTGTGTGTGTGTGTGTGTGTGTGTGTGTGTGTGTGTGTGTGTGTGTGTGTGTGTGATGCAGACTCGAGTGTCTCAGCAGACACATTTCCTGGCTCTGCTTTGACTGTAACTCTCCATCCTCTCCCAATTCACTAATCCCAAAAGTAAACAGTAAACCAACTCCAAAAACAAACTTTTAAGAAAACTGTCACAGACATCCCCCCACAGCCCCTTATCTACCTCTCACTTTCCACACCCTTCCTCCACATTCAGCGTTATCAGCACTGGAATCTTAAAACATGGCACTGCTGCACAAACCTCCCCGGGTTGGGAAAAACATGAGGAATGATGTAAAAAAGTCCTCGTTTTAGAGGTTGTAAAAGGAGATTTTCCACACATGCTGAATGTTGGTTTGGATTTATTTGATCATTTGACATCTGGCTTTGTTGTGCAAACACACCAATGATCTCTGCCTTTGTGTTGACCAATGCATACCTTACCATGTGGTGGAAAAATAACCTAAACCTGTGCAGGGAGCGGCAGACCACTATCGTAGACCTGAGAGGTCTACTCATTCAGGGAAAAGAAAAGAGGCGGTGAAAACAAACTCCACTCATCTCTCAGACAGGCATTGGCTGCTACTTGACATAAATGAAGAGGCAGGACACACCTCCTTCTTTTTGAGCAGAGCCGTAAGAAACAGACAAAGTTTAGCTATATCCATCCTGAAAACAAAATTTATGGCCGCTGTGAAAGCCAAAGCTCTGAAAACTCAAATGGTCTTTACTACATATTTGTAAATTACTCAAGAAAAAATGTTCAGTGAACCCTAACTACAACCCACCACACTAACATGCCCCCCAAAAAGCATGTTGTATTCCTACAAAGGTGAGGTGTGTCACCTGTGGGACAACTAGCCACACAGGAGATCTGTGCCTACCAATGATGATGAAGGTGGGGTGTGGCTAGTTGTCACACAGGTTACAACAGGGGACCATAAAGCTCCGGGAGTTGACGTCACTTCTCCCGGCATGCAACAGTTCAAATCGAACGGCGCCATCTTGGCAGGCAGTAGCCCGCAACTAGGCTATTTGTTATTGTCAGAAAACTCAATCAAACGAGAAATATGGTAGATTCCTGTTGTGCCCCAGGATGCCAGAAGAGACGCGGACGACATAAGGAATGAGCCGTCTACAGGATTCCCCAAGATCCGGAACGCCGCAAACGTTGGATCATCGCTATAAAACGCGCTAGTGACCGAGCTAAAATGAAACTGTGGGATCCCGAGAGTAAAGGTTTTCGCTTATGCAGCGACCGCTTCATATCAGGTACTTAAACCAACGTTTCCTCAACTGTATATGGTATTTATTTTAAATGCTTTTATTATGATTCTTAGTGGGCTTCCTAAACTTATTTTGGCGTGGCTTTTTCTGTATTATTACTCATAGCAGCAAGTAAACATCGCGTAAAACGTTGCCTCGTGAGTTCTGCGTGCTGCCGTTTACGTGTTTTATGATCCCAGCAATTA